TTTGTTGAGGATAATGACGCCAAGGAATGACAGGAAGTTTGCCATGGCAGGAATCTTGTTGCGATAGTTGTGAGGGGAAGGAGGTGAAGTTTTACGCGGTGGATTGTAAAGAAAATGAACGTCAGTTAAAGACGAAAGAAAAGAGCGAAAAAAATATCGTGAAATTTTTATTTAAATCCTGTCAGAAAAAAAAAAATTGTCAAAAGTGGGAATTTCAGGAAATAGTAAAATGACACATCTTCCGGTTTCAGAAAAAAATCTTTAATTTAAAGTTGTTATTTATTTCGTCTGTGTTATTTTGCTAAATTATAAAAATGCGTTAAAATGTACGCATTCTGTTCTGTTTTATTTGGTATTGTTTAGTTTGTACTGGGATTGTGAGTACGTTTGGACTTTTTCAGTTTTATATTATTTTACATTTAACGTCAACTCCCTCATTTATGTTACTGTCTCTATTTTTCTATAAATTGCCAATGACTGTTAGTCTTGTTAATTATATTTTCTCGATGTTTGCAGTTATATTTTCTTGAATTTGAAAAGTTATTTTTCCCTTTTTTTTTTTGAGTTATTAAAATTCAGTCAATTCGCAGTGTTAATCAATCATTCACGACGCATATTAAAACCTCTTTTATGTCTTATTGTAACGGGAGAATGATAGAAATATTTATTCTCCCATTTGTCTTTCCCTAGTTGTGGGCATTATTATATCCATGATATAATAAAACCGTAATTCACGAATTGGCTGAAAGAAAAGAGAAATGACAATCACACTTTTATACTAATAAGACATGCACAAAAATATATATAAATATATACAGTATTCCACGGGGAGAATAATATATCATATATATATATATATATATCTACACAGCAAAGTAAAGTGTAAGGAGAAACAAAATGAAGTGTTTTCCATATAATATTGAGAAACTCTAGTGTCTGGGGAAGCAATTTTTAAGACACAAGATTCATCTATATCCCAGGCGAGGACATATTCTACGAACGGGAAACATCGAATCTTGGGTTTTCCCAAATTGGAGTGTACTAGCAGAATTTTCTTTCTATATCAGCGAAAGTTATATTCCCAAAGAGAAACGGCAGCATGGAATTGTAAGATGCCAAGGAGGCAGATGTAGCTTCTGTGTAGGCCACTGTTGATCCGAGCTAGAAAAAGCAATCTTACGTTTTAGCTGCTGTAAAGCTGCCCATTGTCACAAACTGTACGAATCCGACGCGATAATTAAATTCCGAAATTGTCTGACATTTAAAACGGACTGGAAGATAGGTAAGGCCATAATCGACTATGATCTGAAGGCAGACGACACATAAAAGATGATGTTTTCTGGGACGGTTGATATAAATGTGATTTCAATCTTGGATCAGTTAATGAAACAGTATACTCTCGTTTTGCAGGAAAGAATAAAAAGCGGCATCAGAGATAAAATAAAACAACACATACGTTATCCGGTGGCAAAAGATAATTACAGATTGATGAGAGCACAAAAGTGCTGTAAAACGTCGTCACTAAAATAATAATAATAATAATATACAATTAATACTTCGAATATAAATCTGCGCATATTTCTAGTACCTAGGCGCTTAACATTATCTGATGACAAGAAATAAACGAGATCTTTGAGAAAAGTGATGTGATTCTTAGCTATTCAACATTATTTTATATCAAGATCGTCGTAGCATGAGAAGAAAGTTGTCTCGGACAATAAAACTTACCAAACGCATTCACTATTCTAACATTCGCTAGTATGCATTAGTTAGCTGCATTTAACTTCTGCAGTTTTGTATAATGCTAGACCTTAACAACTGTACTATTCTGAGCGTTCTTAAAATCAAGATGGAAGGCGTAAGAGGCACAAGTGTGATGCGCATGCGCAGTGGAAAATTTTCATTCTCTTATATCTGTAAGCCATTTTCAAGTTCTGGAAGCCATCGTGACAATGCTGTGTGAGCGCATGAGTGAACTATTATATCTTTCTATGTGTAAGATTTTGTGTATGATTATGATTGCATAAGTGCATGCATCGAGAAGTCTACTATCTTATTCGCCCGGCTTTGCAAAACTGGGTAGCGCTGAAGAATATAAGGCTTCTGATAGCATTTCAAGATTAGCGTGGCGTTAACTTAATAACATAAACATCTGGGGCTTCGCAACCAACACAGTTCAGTCATTCTTGCCCACCTCCCTCGTTCGGTCGCTTTGTCAGAATGTCTGATTTCTTTCCATACCACACACCTAGCTACGGCTTTTACTTCTTTTGTTTCCACATGAGATCTTTCTAACTCTTCCGTTTACAATTATTTTTCTTTCCTCATTTCTTCAGGTTCTATAGATCTTAAGTTTTATTCTGGAACCGCACGTACATACATATACCAATAAAGAAAGTGTATTGAAATGGACACACCAAATATTTTGAACATAATCTCCTTGCCAATGCACTTAATTCAGGGATGACTATTAAATATTACCCACTGATATTTTTAGTTCAACTATGGCAGATATAGAAAGAAAACTAGGAGGATCCCTAGAAAAGGCACTAAAAAAATGTAAAACGAAATGGATAAAAATTTTCTGTAAGTAAACAGAATGTGTGGTCGTCAACATGTGTAAACACTTAAGAAGCAATCTATAAATTAAATATTACCAAACTCAAAGTTTGAAGATATGGAATCTCTCTTTAACAGAGAATGAGAAATGTGTATCACATCGTGCATTGGCATAGTGAAAGATGTATTCCCAAGATTATTTGCGTGTAACGAACCCGACTGGAATTGGAACTCGACTTTCCGATTTCCATTTCTCCTCTGTTATCCATTACTCCACCCGTACATCAAAGATTACAGTACCTGATATTCCAAGCAGTCACCCATTGAGATATTAACCAGGCTGAAGGTTGATTAATTGCAGTTAATGTACGAGAACCAGTGCTGCAACTTGATATAGTCAAATACACAGGAAAGGGTTGAAGCACAATAAAAAGAAGAATTTAAAGAAGAATTTGAAGAAGGAAAAATTTAAAGAAAAAGTATTTAAGGAAGAATTCAAAAAAGAAGAATTTAAGGAAGAATTTAAGGTAGAAGAGTTTAAGGAAGAATTTAAAGAAGAAGAAGAATTTAAGGAAGGATTTTAAGAAGAAAAAGAATTTAATGAAAGAGAAGAAAAAGAATTTGAAGAAAAAGAAAAAAGGAAGAAGAAAAATAAATTAGAGAAGGAGAAAGAATTTAAAGAAGGAGAAGAAAAAGAATTTGAAGAAAAATTGAAGAAGATGAATTTGAAGAAGAAAATGTATTTGAAGAAAAGGTAAAAGAATTTTGAGAAAAAGAATTTGAAGGAGAATAAAAAAGAAGAAAAAGAATTGAAGAAAAAGAATTTGAAGAAAAATTTTAAGAAATAGGAATTTCAATAAGAAAATTTGAAGAAAATATTTAAGGTAGAATAAAAAGCAAAAGAAGAAAAAGTAAAAGAAGTAATTAGGCTGCATATTTACTCATCCACGCTCAGTTACGTTTTAAATATCTGAAATGATATTACTATGCCTTCAAAATTTAAACCCAGATTATTTTCTTTTTAGGTTTTTATTTCTAAATATATTACTCTCGTATATAATTACATTGTCTACGTATATAGAATCTTGGCTTAATGCATTCTTTTTGATACATTTTCTATCCTTTTATTAAATATTAAATAGCCTATATATGTGGGACTACGCGTTCTTGCTTGTATTCTCTCTCCAGTGTATAATGATCTAATCATAGTAATTATCCAAGTAAACACAGTTATATAGCACCGCCTACTTTTCAGTAATATTGTATTTTCCCGCCCTGTGCGTGTAGATTTGTATGTAAAACTCCAGGATTCTTCTCTCTATATTTTTCTACTACTGAAACCTTAAAACAATCCTTTGCATGTAGCGATAACCCGATTCAGTTTTATATATTTGGAACTGTGTCCTTTCCCTATATATTTTTTGTTCATATTTTTTCTATACCATGTTTATATAAACTAATTCGTTTCCTATGTTTATCGATTTTTTTCATTAATTTATGTTACTAAAATAGTTTTAGGATTGATAATTTTAAAGTTTCAGAGATTCAACGCGCTTAAGTAGAATACGTTTATTACAAAAAAGTGATAAAACTTATAGAACACATTTCTTAATATACATAAATTAAATTAATATCATTATTATTTTAATATTGGTAGAAAATATGGGTTATTATTGTTTAATACTGTATCCTTGTCTTTTGAGTGTTAAATTCTCTAGGCCTTCCTTTTCCTCATAATATATCTCAGAATTTTCAGCTGTCTCTTTGTGAATTTATGTATAATTACATTATTTTTGTTTTTATTTTTCTTGCAGCTTCCTCATCGTTCAAATGTTGTCTAGGGTATTCTCAACACCATTTCATGGAAACATCTCTGTGTTGCAAAGTGTCTTTTCTTTATCTGTGCGAAAATTCTATAGTATTCACCGTCATATATAAGGATCTTCATTACATATCTGTTCATTTCTCTTTGTTATTAACGAAAGTTTTCTATTTCTTAATACACATTTCCCTCGTGGAAGACGTCGTTCACTATTCTAACGCACCTTCGAATTTCTGGGTCGCATTCACTATCGTCTTTAAAATACCAAATAGATTAATATATGCCTAAGATGTTTTTCTAATTTTCATGTTCATAATTTTTTTTTATTCTGATTCACTTTTCTATTTAAGTATAATTCATAACATTGAGCTTTTTACGAATTTATATTTTTCTTGAGCGCCATCATTTTTATTTTATTTTATTTACGGTATATGCTCGTGTATAAGTCGATTTGATGTATAGTGCGAAGCTTGAATTTTTTGTAAGAATTTTAAAATCCACACTCACCTCAAAAATAAATTACTTGTGTTTAGTGCAACAGATCACCGAAAATAAATTATTTTTAACCACTTCAAAAAAATTAGCTGTGTATAATGCAATCACCTATTTTTTGCGACTTAGGGCCATATCACGTTGAAAAACCTGTTCCCGTAAGATCTCCGAAGTTAAACAACGTCGAGTCTGAACAGTACTAGTTTGGGTGACCGGTTGGGTTGTGTAAGCTTGGATGTGCGTGTGGTCAAATGGATAATGGCTTGGAATTATTTATCTGTGAGCCGTTGCTAATATCAGTTGTTGAATTCCTCTTATTTACTAAAGCGAAAACTATAGGTTAATCAGTAAGTCATCTATTATATATATATATATATATGTGTGTGTGTGTGTGTGTGTGTGTGTGTGTGTGTGTGTGTGTGTGTGTGTGTGAAAATATATTGAAAATAGGAAGGAACTGGTTAGGTAAATAATCCAAAGTTCCTTAGTATTTTAGTTATTTTTTTTTTAAAATAGTGCTCGATACAAAAGTAGAGCATAAATATAATTATTTATTTAAAAATATGATTCAACTCGCGACATAAGAGGTCTCATGTTTCAAAATAAGAGCTGAAAACTTCAATATAATTTTTTTTGAATTAAATTCCAATTTTTTTAAAAAAAAATCTGTTGAAGATGGAACAGATTTTTTTTTTTTAAATTCCCAAAATTCAAATTTTATATTGAAGTTTTCAGCTCTTGTTTTGAAACATGAGACCTCTTATGTCGCGAGTTGGAATCATATTTTAAATAAATATATATATATATATATATATATATATATATATATATTGTCGTGTATCGATGGAAGAGATATAAATTAAACCACTTCAGTTCTTCATATATAAATAGCAATATATTATATTATTTTTGAATTTTACACAGTTTAATGGTCACAATTAATAAAAACGTGTTCTCTAAACCAACTTTAGTTGTATGTTATTAGCCTTTTCCGCTAAATATAGATTGTCTTTTTTCCGTTCTTATATAATATAACCAAGAATCATTATTGTCTTATTGTCCTTAATGAATAGAAGCTTTTAGTATTGTATTGGGTCAAATATTAATATTTGCTGAAGGTCTTTTCTGCCAGAAATGATTCCATCAATCTGGCGTGGCATAGAGAAGATCAACCTGTTTGAACGTGATGTGTCTGTAAACCTATAATATTCTTGCACGAACGATAAGAATTCGATTTGGCCACAGAGGGGCGTTAAGTTAGCAAGGTCTATTTATAATAATTTAAAGTTCATTTACTTAAACATTTGTATCTATAAAAAGAATGTATAAACATAAAAATGTCTTAAAATAATTGTCGGATTTTGTCCATTTCATAATGTGTGACGTCATTTGTTTACATTTGATACGCTATGAGCAGATATGAATGTACGTGAGAAATTTATAGAATATTGAATTTCAAATACAGTAAATTCGACCTTGCTAACCGCAAGAACTTTCTTAAATATAACTATTACTCTATTTTCAGGTGTGGCATCTCGTCGTGGATACTGCGGTCGATTGTCGTCAGATACGAAGATCACGTCACTGTCCAATGCTCCAGGTTCCTGGTTCGTTCATGACGAAAAAAAGAAACGTAAAGAATAAAAATAAAAAAGGCTGATATGGAAAAAATCAGATGCAAAAGGATGCATTTTTTATAGATTATACAAAAGCGTTTGATAAAGAACGCTACAAAGCACTCTTGGAACTGTTCAGTAACCTTGACATAATTGGGAACGATATTAGAATGACCCTGAACTATACTAGCAGCAAAATGCCTGCATACGGATAGAAAAAATGAGTTCAGTAAATATACAAAGATAGAAAGGGCTGTAAGACAAGGACTTATTAAACCTATACAGTGAGGCTACAATGCTAGCAACATAAGATATGCAGATGATACAGTGTTGATGACAAACACAGAAAGTGTAGTGTGGGAAAAAGCTAAGAAAGGACTAAAAATCAAATGCAAGAAGACAGGATAGAAAATAATCGTAAGAGAAGATAAAAAATAAAAACTAACGGTAAAAGAAGATAAAAAATGAAAAATAACGGTAAAAGAAGATAACACATGGAACGTTACCTTAAAAGAAATTACAAAACGGGAAGTAATGTTAAAAGACACAAAGTGCAAAGTAAGGATAAAAGGAGATGAAATGGAATGTAACTGTAAAAGATGATGGAAAATGAAAATTAACGGAAAAAGGTGAAAAATGGAAAGTTACGGAAAGAAAAGATGAAAATGTCAATTAATAGTAAAAGAAAACAAAAAAATGGAAAGTAACGGTAAAATAAGATATAAATGGAACGTAACGGTAAAAGAAGTTTAAAAGTAGAGTTTAACGGTAAAAGAAGATAAAAAATGGAATATGTCAGAAAAAGAAAATATGAAATGGAACGTAAAGGTAACAGAAGATACAAAAATGAAATGTAAACGAAAAAAAAAAAAAAAAAAAAAACGGAACGTAACGTTACGAGAAATGAAAAAAATGGAACATAATGGTGAAAGAAAACAACAATGGATAGTAACGGTGAAAAAGATAAAAAATTGAAAGCAAGTGAAAAAGATAGAAAATGGAACGTAATATTAAAAAAGTAAAAAATGGAATGCAACAGTAAAACAAGTTAAAAAAAAAAGATGAAGTTACCTTAAAAGAAAATAAAAATGCAAAGTACAGTTAAATGGTTTGGTTTGGTTTGATTCAGGGTATATGAACCTCAATAGGTTATTTATTGCCGACAAAATTTTTATAGCTGTTAATATTTCTTTTCACAAATATATTGCTCGTAATATATTTTACTTCAAAAAATCTATTTCTGGTAATATTTTTTTCTTCAAATATCTATTCCTGGTAATATTCTTTTCAAAAATATATAGCTGATAATATTTTTTCAAAAGTTTATTGCTGGTGATAATTTTATCTTCAAAAATTTATTGCTGGTAATAATTTTTCTACAAAATATTTCTGGTATTAAAACTTATTTTTAAACTTTCACAGTGTTACGACCCCAGTTTGGGGGTCAAATTTTTGCCCATAGCTTGGACCCTAACAAGTGCTACCACCTCGAACACCAGCAATTAATAGGTGGTTCCACGCACCTCAAAACCTTCTGATCAGAGACCTTGCTAATGGACGCAGTTTATCGTCTTACCCAGGACGGGTAACGGTAAAAAAATTTAAAATCAAAGCAACTGTAGAAGATTAAATGGTAAGTAACAGTAAAAAAAATAAGGGAACTTAGCGGAAAAATATTAAAAATGTAAAGTAATGGTAAAAGAATGTAAAAAATGGATGGTAACGGTAAAAATGAAAATGGAATATAACGGTAAAAGAAAGAAACATGGAAACCTGATGGATATTTCTAGCTGTAGAAAAGTCGAGAATTATGAAAGTAAAAAAAAAAATGAGAAGAATTTTCAAAGACACAAAGAGAAAATATAGAAAAATGAGATATAAAGGAAGTGGGAAATATAAGAAGAGCAGGTGATAATTAGAATCAAAGATCGCAGGTTAAAGAGAGTTAGGGAAAATTGAAAAAAATAAAAAAAACAGAAGGGGAGTGAGTGACATGAGAGCATTAGAAATAGGAGAAATATTTGACTAATTAGGAATCGGATGAGTGAAAATAAGCTATCGATTTAGTAAACGCAGATGGAAAGGGTGGGAGATTCGAAGGATATGAATTCGGAGAATTAAAAAATGACAGATTGGCGTATTCGGTAAAAGAAAAGAGTGGAATTGCTTCCCTTTACATTTTTCAGGGTCTCATATGCTGGTATTTTCTTCTCGTCACCTGGTTGCCAACACAAGGATAAAAGATCCAGTTGTCCCTGTTATATAAAAACTAGGGAGACATGGATTCGGACCTTTCCCAAAAGTATTTTTGGGGAAAGTGAACGCAACACATAAGGCTGTTTTCCTTGAGGTTTCTCTATATATAGTTTCATTTTAGTTGTTGTGAAGACATTGCCTGTAAAGTTTAGGCAGTACTAGTTTTATGACAAGGCCCCATCATTTTGCAGTCGAAATGTTTAGATATAACCTGTTGTATAGGAATAAAGTGTTGCTGCCGACACTTGAGTTTGAACATAGATCGCCAGTGAGCAAACCCAAGCGAATTAAATAGGCCAAGTGGTCGTAGAGTAAACGCATATGTAGGAAGTCGCGTGACGTGTAAAGGATCTCATTTCTATTATATCCTCTATTACGATTCGGATGACTATTTCTTGTCTATCATGTATACTATACAGATCGCTATTTCTCCTCTATCCTCTATTAATATTCGGAACGCTATTCTCTATTCCATTCACTATACTATTTCTCTTTTCGGATCACTATACGGATTACTATTCGAGCGAGTATTATTGAGCAAGTTTTAATGGGAGATTATTCGAAGACATCTGACATCTGTATTGTTCAACGGCATTACTATAATTGTATCTGCGATTACAAAGTCTCTACTACAACGAGCATTCCAAAAGAAACGAGTATTCGTTGACATTACAATAGTGTCAAACGTATGTGGAACTGTCATCCAGCTTCTTGCTTCATAGACAACAGTGATCTTCAAAAATGTAAATGCAATATCAATTGTTTTTTGCTGTCTTAATTCTTGTTCTTTTATTATCCTCTCTAAAATGGTAATTTTCTCATATTCTCTTACACTCATCAACCAGTTGCGCCACTGTGCTTGGGGTGATGTGACTTTTTTAGAATATATATATATATATATATATATATATATATATATATATATATATATATATATATATCATTGTATAATAGAGACTATTATATATTTCTCTTCGTTGGTTAAATTATTCACATGTTTACTTTTATTTCGATACATGTATAAGAATTTTTCAACGTTACAATCCTATTTCTTTGAGTTCAAGAAAAGAAATGAACGTGTATTGTGAGAGCAGAATCGCCTCCATTCATTGACTAGGTCGTGTATCGAGGCGTTAAAGTCGTTCGAGATTGATTTGTTTCGGAATTCGCGCAACTGTACGCGAACTCGACGTTTTTGTTTTGAGTTTCAGGCGAGGCGTATCCTTTCTCGTCTGGACGAGATATCTCAGCTCCAGGTTTTTGGAACATATTTCTTCCTTGTTTATTATTCCCTCTCTTCTTTTGTCCCCCCCTACACTTTTATTTACGTTCTGTTCTTGATAAGCCTG